TTGAAACGTGTGAGTTGAAGAAGAAAATCTTGTGATCATCGCCAGATCTTGCGGTGCTACGCTACTCCACCCCGTCGACGAGGTCTTTTTTCTGCTTTTTCGTACGAGTATTTCCGTTAAAGAATAGGGATCTATAAGTTGCCAAGATGTGGCAGTGTCTTGAGTCTTGGCTCCTCTGGTTTTACCAGCTGGTTAAGGATTGGCCTTGGTTATCAGACATGATCTTCTCTCCCAGACTTCGTTGGGCCCTCGCGGCCCTGTTGGCGGCTTCGAAAACGGCCAGGACTGAGAGCCTGGCTGATATCGACCATGTCATTTTGTTTATGCAAGGTAACATCCCTTAATCAGCCTCTCATACTAGCTTTCTAATGTGTCATAGAGAACCGTGCTTTTGATCACTACTTCGGTACCATGCCCGGAGTTCGTGGCTTTGCTGATCCAAACGTCCAGTACAACAACGGCATCCCTGTCTGGAAACAACAAGTCACCTCTCAACAGAGCAAAGACACTGATTACATCACACCCTGGTACATCAACTACCTCGGTGGAACATGGCCTGAAGCTACTCAGTGCATGAGTGCCGGGTCCAACGGCTGGGATGCCAACCAAGCCGCTTGGAACCACGGTGCCAACAACCAGTGGGCAGTTAAAAACACTCCCTACAGTATTGGCTACTACAAGCGCGATGACCTTCCTGTTCACTTTGCTCTTGCTGAGGAGTGGACGGTTGGTGATATGTACCAAGAGTCCGTCATCGCTTCCACCAACCCCAACCGTGTCATGTGGATCAGTGGATCCATCAACGTCCCTGGTTCACCTCAGACCAAGGATGAGGGTGGATACCCTTATATCGACAACAATGAGACACCTGGCTGTGATAAGAACGGTATCAACTGTTACCCTCTCAAGTGGTCTACTGCCGCTGAAAAGTACGAGGCTGCTGGTGTCTCATGGAGTGTCTTCCAGGACGCTGATAACTTTGATGACAATCCTTATGCTTGGTTTGAACAATTCCAAGATTCCAAGACAGGATCTGAGTTGAACAAGAAGGGCATGAAGGGACAATCATTGGACGCTTTCTATTCTCAGGCTGCTGCTGGAACTCTGCCTGAGGTATCATACATCGTCGGTCCCATGCAGCTCTCTGAGCATCCTCCCTACTCCCCCCACGATGGATCTTGGCTCCAACGAAAGGTTGCTGAGGCTGTCATCAACTCCCCCAAGTACTCCAAGTCCGTCTTGATCATCTCGTATGATGAGACGGGTGGCTGGGCCGATCACGTGAGCCCTTATACTTCACCTGATGGTACTGCTGGTGAATGGATTGATGATCCTTATGGTGCCGCCGGCCGTACTGCCACTGGTCCAGGCTTCCGTGTCCCCTTCTACATCATCTCACCCTTCACTCGCAAAGGCGGTGTTTACACTGAACACGCCGATCACACCTCTCAGGTGTCCTTCATTGAGAAGTGGCAGGCTGCTAAGGGTCGTGATGTCACCACTGATGAGATGGTTCCCTGGCGTCGGGAGAACATGGCTGATCTCGTCAACGCCTTTGACTTCAAGAACCCTGACTACAGCATCCCCAATCTGCCTGAAGCCCCTCAACCTCATACCAACAGCAAGGGTGTTTACGATGGGTCATCATACTGTTCTTCCCAGTATGGCAACGGTCGACCTCCCGTTCCCTACACTGGTGTAGGTGCCAACAATGACACCGCAAGTCTGGCTGAGGCCGGTTTCAAGCCTGTTCGTGGACTGCTCACTGAGGGTCGCGTTCTCGTCCTTGAGTCTTCCGGCCAGGCTGTTAGTGCTTCATCGTACGGTAGCAAGGTCTCACTGAGCAAGGCATCAAAGAACCACGACAACATGCAGCATGGATGGGTTCTCCATGCCGTGGATATCGGTGGTGACCAGTTCACCATCAGCTCTGCCAACAACGGCCAGTACATCTGCAAGAATCTCAAGCTTTGCAAGGACTCTGGATCTGCTACGGTGTTTGTTGTAGACTTTAAGCCAAGCCAGGGCCACTCTTTCAAGGATCAGAAGTCGGGAGAGTATCTAGCTAGTGGCCGAAAGGAGAAGCTGGGTTGGCAGAAGAGCCAGGCCTTCTGGAAGGTCTTTAGTGTCACTTATTGATTCGAGGGAATCAGAAGACATGGGACATAACAAGGAAATAAACCAACAAATTGGCAGTGTATGACACGATGCATGTATCTTAAGCTATGAAATAAAAATATGTTCGTTATCCTCTAAAGGGCCCACTAGATTTAATGGATGTATCATCAATAGTGGCCATGCACCAACGTCACACGTCAGCTGATCCTGCGGCCTATGCCACGGCGGTCTTCCTCATTTTAGCTTTTCAAGAAGGTCTTTCTTCTCACGCACGTTCCGACATCCGGAGCATTTATCAGTACCTTTTACGAAATCGAAAGAGTCGATTATGCCAATTGAACAACTTGCGAGGCCTCCCATCGTTTTGGCCTCATCGCAAGTGGTAAGCTTGTTTCTGACTGAACATTCCCATGTGCATGTTATACATTGGACAGATGTGCGGAGCCGGTAACACATAGTTGTATGAGTGTTAAGGGCTCAGATATAATTAATGCTATGAGCTGGGGGCTCTGAATGATAGATATAGATATAGGAGAATTATTGAGGTTTGAGTGTGGAGGATAATATTTATTTTTATTGTTACGAGTTGGATTTTATAGCTATGTACCGAAGCGTTGACTACCCGTCTACTGATTCAATGTATAACCATTGATAGCCATGGATAAGTTCTTTCATTGTCAGTGAGATCTGTAAGTCAATGTGACGTTTTGTCCCGATGTGGCCGCTGATCTGGAGTGCTCTAGAAGACGTGGCATGGGTAAGAAGGAAGTTACAGAATTGAATGACCGTGATAGCCAAGGATTGTATCATACCTGCTGTAGAAGTACCCATCTCCCAGCATCCAGACAGGTTCAATAATTATAAGGTAATATGTAAATGATGATGGCCGTAGTGATAAAGGAACGTAAGGATTTCCAATACACAAATGAGGTCATCCTGTTAGCCACGCATTCTCACCGCATGACAAGCTTTAACTGCCGCTCCTTTTCCTCACGTTTGATGCGGCATGGATCGCATTCTGCTTTTCCCTTTTCAGTATCGTTATCCTTCCATATTCCGATGGAGCATTTCGCGTCCTTTCCGTGCCCGTTGACTTCGCGGCACCTGTCTAGGAACATTCGGTGTGACATCTCTGTGGTGCATGAGATGCACTGAACAGACGTACGAAGAAGTCGACACATTGTGGTTAAGATGGTTTGCTTGTTGAAAACAGAATTGAGAGTTGTGGTATGAATTTGAAGTTTGGAATAATGGAGGGGATATTTCGAGTTCGTTGAAGTTTAGAAGGAAAAAGACGGCCGTTTTCTTGTTGCTGCGAGCGGGATTTTATATTCCCCGGTTATAGTGTCCATAGTGATTTAATGAGGTCTGTGACAAGTGCGGTGATACATATAGCTATGGGATGACTGCCACCTATAAGGTTAAGCTTTACGCTGTGAACACAGTTGATGAATGAGAGCACGATACTTTTTGTTTCCCGATATAAGTTTCTTCCCAAAACCTTTCACGATAGTGATACATACAGACAAGTACCTGTTCCCACTTCCAATCATCGCTGTAAGTGAATTTGACTTTGTTTGTAGGTTTCAGAAACGACTACTGAAGCCACAAACTTTCGTCATTGACCAACAGAGTATCCAACAGCCTCCGCTCTTCTGCAAACTCTCTTGTCTTGGTCGAACACTTGGTGCATTCCTCTTTTCCTCTCTCCTCCCGCTCAGACATAACACGACCTAATCCACATTGTCCCCAATCAGACTGCTCCTTGACAATTCCACATAGGTTTATGTCGAATCTGCCTGAGTATTTGACTCCGCATGTTCTGCAAAGAAGTGATGTGAAAGTCTGGGAACACATTTTGTAAACAACGGCTTTCCTTTTCGATGGCCCTTCAAATGTTAAGAGGTATAAATTCTCGGTCAGATAATTCGTAGCAGATGTTGATGGAATTAAAGAGGTAGGTCTCTGTTAATACGGCCATTGGGACGAGAGCGACTATTTATATGATTCTCCCTTGTTCAATTAAGCAGTGATACAATGTACAGTACAATAAATTATGTTCCGTGATGAACTCACAAACACAGCCTCTATTCACCTTTGAGTGTTCGCTTGGCCTGTTCACAATTCATCTTCAGGCATGATTAGAAGGCGCTCACATTACCGATTCTACTATAGATATGACTAGGCCAGGTATTCCATTCACTGTATGCTTGAACCCATCCTTCAAAGCTACGCCAATTCTACTCCTCCTGAATGGTCGCGAGTCTCTCCAATTCCTCACGCTTCAGTCGACACTCATTACATTCTCCTCCCTCCTCCTCTAGTTGTACTTGCATGACTCCCGCATCGCACTCTCCCCACAACGCCATTTCTGGTAAATTACTGCAAGTGTCAGTCGTACTGCTAGTCTTGTACGCATGGCGGCAGGTCGAACAGAGAGTCGACAAATGATAGTAGTAACACATCTTGAAGGTTTTCACGATTCTTAATCTCTGTAAGCTGTCAGGGGGTATTTGGGTCAAATATTTTATTCATTCGAGGTTTTTAGTGTTATGAATTCTTCGATTGACGGTTCTCAGGATGCGAAACCCAAGTATATATAGTGGGAGCTAAAGCTGCGGTTCACCGTTGAGTCTTCAAATTGATACCAATAATTAAATCTGAATCGAGGCTTAGTGCTCCTAGGTTTGTCCTTGGACTACTGCATTCTCACTCACTAGCACGCATCATCCGGTGGCAGCAACTACGACGAGGAGGCGTTCTTGAGGTATATTATGTACTAGCCCAGAGGCACTATAGTGAACACGAACAGAATAAGGTTATTTAAAATATGTAATACGCGGAGAAATGAATAGTGCCGCTCTCAGCATTAGGATCCCCCATCACTGGACTTCCTGGAGAGAAAAGTCATCGAATACGAAGTCGGGGAACCCACTTGCGTCCGTGCACTCAACAGTGATGGACATGGACTCAGCCGAGTCACCGGCCGTGAAACTGTAGGTATAAGACTGATACTGATAGGCAGCGACTTGGCCGTCTTCGAGGTCGAGAGTTTGAGACACTGATCCAAAGACAATCTTGAATGAGCAAGTGCCGGGCACGTATGCAGATCCAGCAGCCCAGTTGAACTGGAGATTATACGTCGAGCCTGCATTCAGGGAGCTAGCCAGTGGCTTAGTGAGTGTGGCTGACTTCTTTGTGGATTCTAGTTGAACATATCTAGACTCAGTTAGTATATTGCTACACATGAATCAAGGTTCAAAATACTCACAGGAAATTCTCGCCCGAGTTAGGTGAGGGGCTATCGGCTGTACTTCCAGCTCTGATCTTCATGCCGTTGGTGCCAAACCAAGCATAAGTACTATCATCAGTAGCTTGGATCTCAAAGCTTGGGTTTTCAATGAGCGCCCCAGTCACAGGATATGCCTCGCAGCCACTGACCCTGATCAGTGCCGTGTCATCGACGTACACTGATCCAAGCTGTGTGTTGTCATCCTCGTAATCGCAATAGAAGACAATCTGCATTAGCATATTTCCAGCCGGCATTCTGAAGCGAACTGAGTAGAGAGTGTAGCCAGTCGACGAGGTTGCCCCAAAGTCCAGAGTTCTCGCTTGGAATCCAAGATTGTTATAGCCAGCGTAGATATAGCACTCTCCAGCATCCGGCAGAGTCTTGGGCTTCCAGAAGAAATGGTAATCGTAGAGTTCGTTTTCTACTAGCAATGATGCGTCGATATTTTGCTGTAGGAAGATGCCATCGTCCGCAGTTCCACTGGGGAAAAGTCTGTGGCCTGTTAGTTCAAATGATCCGAAATTGAAAACGTTCTGTGAGAACATACGCCTCCCATTCTCCAGTTCTCGCATTGGACTGGTCGTGTACAAAGTCGCCCCTGTCGTAGAAGGCCCACGCCTGATCTTCTACATCAGCCTCAAAACCAGGGACTTGGATCAGGTTGACAGGGCAGTGAGGTGTCTCTGGCTCAGCGGGAACAAGGAGTGTCGACTTTGGGGGATCGTTGGGGTCCACGGGAGTAGCATCACACTCGTTGTTGGAGTCCATAACTGAAGCATCATCGATGTTGACATTGGCTGTGTACCCATTGCCTACACCCGGGCAAGAAACGCCAATCTCGATGGCCGGGTCCAGGTTATCCTGTGCAATGAAGCTGGAAGTGTACTGGCGATATTCCGAGTCAGAGGGAAGCGACACCTGCTTCAATGTAGTGTAGTAGTCGAAAGTTGCAAAGACGGTGCATTGGGTGTCGACTGATGGAGGGTTTGTGACAGCATACCAGAAGCTGATGGTGTACTCTCTTCCAGGAGTTACATGAACACGCTGCTCCATACGTCGTTCTTCTCCGTCAGGAACAGGTAGAACACTTGACCAGATTAGCTTGCGGTTCCAATAAAATGAGAATGACAACATACCCTATGTAATCGCCATTTCGAGCTTGATCCGGGGCGTATTCAACATCGCCACCGGACCAGTAGAATCCCCAGACATCTCCGACATCTGGATCTTCAAAGCCAGGCCGCCTCAGGAGTCCGGTAGGCTCAACACAGACCGAGGTTGTCGTTGTAGGCTCTGACGAGGTTGTTGTGGCGTCGGCAGTGGTGGTAGGGTTGGCAGTTGTCGTAGTATCAGTAGCGGTCGTGGATTCATCAGACGTAGTAGCTTCGGAGGAGGTCACGCCACTAGAAGTTGAGGACTCAGCAGTAGTAGTCGGGACATCTGATGTTGTGAACTCGACGGATGCTGATGTCTCAGTAGACAAGGTTGAAGCACCAGAGGTCGTGGACTCGGCAGAGGACACAGCATCGCTTGAGGAAAGGCTGCCAGATGTAGTGAGGTCGACAGAGATCGTGTCACTCGAGGCCTGGGTAGTTGAGACAATCAAGGTTGTCGGCAGGCTTGAGGAAACGAGAGTCTCGCTGCTAGACACAGATTGGGATCCAGATGTCGTAGGGTTGGTAGCAGTTGTCTCCTCTGACGAAGATGCTTTGTCCGTAGATGCCGATGTGGCAATGCTACTATCAGATGCTGAAGTCGAGACAACTGGAGCCGACGTCTTGGTTTCGGTGACCGACGCGCTCAACGAAGTCCTGGTCGATGGGCGACATAGACCGGCGTTGACTCCCAGGATGTTTGCGGCCGCATAAGCGACTCCAAGAGTCTTGAGCGACACCATTTTGAAAGAATGACTATTAAACGAGTGACTAGTTCACGACTCGGTGAACAATGGGTGCAGTGCCAGAAAGATGGCTTGACAAGGGAGCAGCCACAGAACATATAACCTCCACGGGAAAGTCGGAGAAAAAACCCCGTATCACGCCAAGTCCCGCTCAGAGGATTTATTAGACCTAAACAACCAACACGATTCTAAATCGGTCATTAACCGTAACTGTTGGCCAGCTGAATTGCTTTTAGTGAGCTCGTGAAGGATCAATAGTTTGGCTGACCCTCTCTAGCGTAGAGCTAACATTGGGTAGAATACTGATTGTGGATCGGGAGTAGCTGCATTGAGACATCTGGGGCGTTTAGCTGCTGTGCCTTGCATAATTTAAATTGTGAACCCCTGAATTTTTATCCTAGCGTAGTGCTTTGCTGTAAGACGCTATTGAATTCGAGAGAAACTATTGACTGATCGCTAAACCTCACTGGATTTCAGCCTGAAGGTTTTCCTTTTCTGGGACTCCTTAAGCCCGGTGATCCCGTATCCGACTCTGTTATGAAAGTGAATTGATTGGTTGGTTGGTTGTCACGTCATCGAAGTTCGGCAACGTTGTCGGAAACAAGAGATTTGTGCCAGCGTCCGTGTTTGCAGCCAATAGCTTAACCTTATACTTCCATGAAAGGCTAGAAGTGGGAACGCATCCAACATATCAGTGATAGGAACATCGGTGTCTCGAACAACACCTCTCCCTCTGCTGTTGCCTTTGAGGACCAACTCTACCTCTTCTTCAATGGGAAAGGTAATGACGGCACCTTTTATGGTGGTTCTAGCTGGTCAAAGTTCCATTCTGTCGGCATTGAAGTCGGTGGTATGGGATTTCTGCCTATGACCTCGCCAAACTGTTGACCAGGATACGAACCAGCTTTTCTGGAGTGGCACTGGTGATGGCGGTATCTTCCATGCCAGGTTTGATGGTGACAAATGGGGTCGTGTTGGGCACATAGATATTTTCGGCATTGCCCCAGGGACCAGCCCGTGTGTTGTCTTCTTTAACAAGAATTTGCATGTTTCTGGAGTGGCCGTGCTGGTAACGAAACCTGGTACTGTACTGGGGAAGAGGGTGGCTGGAGTTGGCAGCACTCAGTCGCAGCCCAGATTGGAGGGCAGGGTTACTACCTAGGCACAAGTCCTACTGCTGTTGTGTAAGATGAAAAGAACCTCCGACTGTTCTCGGTTGGTTCTGGTGGGCCTGGCCAGGGACTCTGGTACTCTGATCAAGCATTGAACCCGTACTACTGGACCGGGCAGAAAAGTTTGGTCAATGAGATTGGCGGGCAGCATCTGAAGAAGATGCCAAGTGCTAAGGGTCTCAAGTATGAAAAGACGTCTAATTTCTTATGGGACGGACCTGATCAGGAAATCTGGCTTACCTATCAGCTTTCCAATTGAGTGATAGATGCCAGGATGTTAGCGATTACCGTGGAATTTGAGGGGAGACCTGAAGCAATCTGATGAGGTTGCGTCATTTACTCACATCCGGCCTGGCCAGCTGGATATCCTGGGAAATTCTGGGTTTTGTTTTGCATTTGTCCAACATTATTTCTATTGCAGCCTATGCTGCGTCACAAATTATATGAGTCCTCGTAGCCATGTGCAACAAATAGATTGTCAACACGTCTCCTCACTTCCCCTTAGAGTACTGGAGGGGCCACTGGACTTTCTCGCCCAAACTCTTGGCAGCTGTAAGTACAAACCCTGCGTCCCGTAGAAACTGTCTCCCAACCATGACCAAGTCGGCCTGCGGCTCCTCATACTTTCCCCTCTCAGCGTCTCCGTTTGTCCCATTCGTCTTCTGTTCTACCTCAACACCATTACCACGAACGACGCTCTCAGCCATGGCAGGGTTATTTATGAACCCCACTGCCGCTATCAGCAGGTCAACGTCCTCAGCTATGATGGCTTGTCGGATCTGGTATGCAAGATCGACCTGATAGTACGGATGAACGTCGATCTTTTGGTCACTATGGTTGCCACCAGATGAGACATCAAGAATGTCAACCCCGGCCTTGGGAAGAAGCTTGGCCAACTGTATGGACTCCTCAAGGGTCCAACAGTCTAGGCCACTCCACTCCATCCACTCAACGGCAGAGATGCGCAACGAGAGAACAATAGTGTCCGGTATGGCATCCCGAACGGCTTTCAGGACACGAAACAAGAAGCGCGTTCTGTTCTCGAAAGAGCCGCCATATTCATCGATTCGATGGTTCGTCAGAGGGGAGAGGAAGGCGTTGATCAAGTAGCCGTGGGCGCCGTGGAGTTCGATAAAGTCTGCTACGATTAGTTACTATCCAATGATAGGGGACAAAAGCTTACCAACGCCAGCTTCAGCAGCTCTTCTAGCGGCACTAGCAAACTGCTCAACCGCAAGATCGATTTGCTTATATCCCATCTCTTTCGGCATAGGATACCCAGGGCCATGGCAAATCGCACTCGGCGCCCAGACGTCATCCGGCCATCCGCCAGATTCCTCATTTGCAAGTGGAAAGTGCACCATCGGGTCGCCTTTGGCTAGCCACAGCGGGAGCATGGAACCCTTGGGACCAGAATGGCAGAGCTGAATACCTGCATTCTGTCCTTGGCTATGAATGTAGTCAACTACCCGCTTTAAAGGCGCAATCTGGCTATCCTGCCAAAGACCTGAATCTCCAGTTGAGACGCGAGCATTGGGAGCTACAGCTGTAGCTTCGATAATGACCAGTGCGGCACCTCTAGTGGCGAACGAACCGTAATGCACAAGATGGAAGTCAGTCAGATGTCCATCGTTCGCACTGAACATTCCCATGGGAGAAACAGCGATGCGGTTTTGGACGGTAAGACCTCGGACTTGGAGAGGGGAGAAGAGGGCCGAGTTGACTTCTTTTTCGACAAGTGGTGTCCCGGGCTCGGGTGCCACATGAGGGTATAATGGGATTGTCTTCTGAAATGACATTTTCTAAGGCATGTGGTACGATTGAGATGGCGTGTTCAGTGTCGTGTTGGGAAGTTTGATGCAGATGGCGGAGGAGACCAGATTTATACGCCAAAGTCACTACACAACAGTCATCTTGGACTTCCCCCGTCCGTAAATCTCCCTCATGGTATTACCAATCACCTCTTGATCGTCAGTCCTGATATCAAAAGATCCATCCATCCATCGAAGACACGACTCTCGGCTTAACATTTTGGGACTAGCGCATTGAATTGAACGAGGTGACCAATGGGCCGCACGGATGAGACTCCACAATGCGACAACAGTCCCATTAGTAATACTTGTCGTGCAGTCATGTCGCGATCCTTCAACGCTCGAGCCTTAAGATGAGCTGATTTACTCACTTTGCTCAGATCCTCAAAGAGTTGGCTACCATGAAGACACCAGGTTCCCGGAAGAAAAGATACGCTACGAAGGGGAAAACAGGATGTACCACCTGTCGGTTAGTGGCGACCCTTGCAGCACCAGCCAGTAACTAATCATGACAGCATTCGTCGAGTCAAATGTGACGAAGCCAAGCCAAGTTGTCATCGGTGTACTTCTACCGGTCGCACGTGCGATGGCTATGATCTCACTGCCCTAGCCCATTGCGGTAGTGTTCAACGTGAACCGATAGTTTCTGGAGGCAGTGATCCAGAAAGTCAAGCCATCTACCAATTCCGAACCAGGATCGCAACCCTTATCGCTTCTTCTTTCGACGCCCAGTTCTGGACATATGATGTACTACACAAGTCAGATACATACACCCCCGTCCGCCATGCCCTAGCAGCACTCGCCTCAGCATACCAGAAGTCTATCCTCCTAGGCATCGAGTCTGCAAGTTGCGATATGTTTATCTTCTCGCAGTACCAAAAGGCCATGAGATCTCTCTCTATTTGTTTCCAGGAGACCAAGGTGCTCTCTACTTCTGCAAAGTTGGCTGCCTTGGTTGCCAACTTCTTGTTCACGTACCTTTGCTCCTTGCAAGGCCTTCGCCAAGAAGCTCTCGTTCATCTGAGAAATGGCTTGGCACTAATTCATGAGTGGGATGATCTGAGATCACAGGGCCAGCATATGGTGGCAGACATACTTGGGCTATACATGAGGTTGGATACGCAAACTCGTGTTATCTCAACAGCTGATTGTAGGTCCGTTTACTGGGAAGGGCGCTCTCGACAAGGGACCTTGCATGGAACTTCTGGTACTCCCTCAGTGTGCTCATTACTACGCCAGCTCGATGCGATACACGGCCAATTACTTCAGCCTTCAAATAGCCAGGCCTCAATTTTGTCCACAAAGCACTCCCTCAAGCTTTGGGACTGGCGATTTGAAAGCCTAAGCGTTACGTCTCAAGAGGAGGAGAAGCATGTGACCGCTCTCAGAATGAGACGCACAATGGTCGAAGTTACCCTCACTCTGGCATTCAACACAAGTGATTATCCAAAAAGCACTATCGATACAAATTGCAAGACCATTCTTGACCTAGCGCTCCAATTAATAAACGACCTTGGGCTCCGACCCGCCCAGGCCGGATTCTATCTCGCAAACGGCCTTGTCGAAGCACTTTACTTTGTCGCTGTTACCAGTGAGGACTGGGACTTGAGACAGCAGGCCATACACATTTTGCGACAATACAGGTTCACTGATGGAGTTTGGGGGAGTAATGCAGCTGCAGATCTGGCAGAGGGACGATTACAGCGCGATATCTTCGGGTATCGGCAGCAGCTTGAGGCATAAAGTATGTCTTTAAGATACAAACGGTAATGGGTCATGTAGTATACAGCGGTTCCTTCTTTCTGATATTTCATCTCATTTTATGCTCGCTTGAAGATCGTGATGCCCTGCTGCTCAGAATACCCAAGAAAAAGCCTTAGCTTAGGCAAAATATCCGAAAACGCAGGAAACTTCTCCAAATCCAGCCCCTTCTCATCCTCCTCGTCAGTCTTGAAAGGTCTCATAATGAGCTTGTTCTGCTCGATGTCCTTCAGCGAAAACTTCAGTGGCAGGATGCAGGCAACTTGAGGTGTCTTGAAATTCTTGCCAATCATTCCAGCGATCTGATCCAGCCAAGATGGCACGGCGGGATCAGCAAATGACATGACGATGCAGCCACCGGCCTGAACCAAAGGATCGCTTTTGTCGGCATGGGGTTTCGGGAGCCATAATTCGGTCTTGATTTGTGATAATGCCGGTTTGGTCTGATGGTCGAGAGATTTCCATATGGCGTAACCTTGGTCGTCTGCTTGGTGGGAGTCGATGGCAAATATGTAACAATTGTTGTATTTATCTTGGTCATCAAGATTCTTGTTTGAGTTGATTTTTATAGTTGCGCACGAAGCGATGGGAGAAAGTTCAATGACCTGGTCTGCTGATCGGCTGGTGGTTTTCTTCCTTTCAGCACCATTTGTCTCCGTCTCAGTCGACGCTGCGTCGTTGTCGCTATCGATACGTTGTAAAGAGATCAATTGTCTTCTCACGGTAGCCTCATCTCCATGAAGAATAGCTAACGCCAAGAGTACTTGCACGCCGAGAAGAATTGTGAGACCAGCGGCACTCCAGATGTAAGGAGAGGCTTTGACTGACGCCTCAACCCATCGTACTGTGGCATGAACGCGTTCATCCATGATTAAGTTTGCAGAAGAAGGAACAAGGTAACAACATTTTAATTTAATGGATGAACTTTGGTTAAACCTTTTAAACGGACGATTTACCAAGCAATTCCACGAGGCGCAAGCTTTTCCACGTGCTCATTGTGACGAATTGATTGGCGAACATGGTGATGCCAAGCGATTTTCACCGGCAAGGTTTTATTGAACAGATTAAAAGCAAAAATTGGCTTCAACGTCAGAGAGACTGTCTGAGGTATCAAAATATTTTCTTACGAGGCAGGGTCACGAGACCTGATGATGCCGTCGCCAAAATTACGGTCCTTTCCTCTAAATAAATATAGTTGATTGTCAAGCTCTCCAGGGTAGTCAAAACAAATGCAATGGGACCCCAACCTCGAGGTTTTCCACCAATTAATGAGCTTAAATAAACGATTTTCTACACTCTTGGTCAACCTTGTATTCAATGCTGGGCAAAGGATAAATTCGATACGGCGTAGCAGCGTGCGTCAAGGTTCATACCACTCGCAGCGACGCAAAGTCACTTGGTCTCGCGTCAAAGTCGCATCAAGATTCACGAAGCTCAATTTAACATTTTGCAACTGACATTGTATTTTAACCTCCAACTTTAATCATGCTCGGTGAATGACAAACCCTGTATCTGAGTCATTCTAGGCATCGATATCTTCGCCACAGCCACAGAATAAATTCCTTTCCCGTGCATAATTTCTTCCTGAATCTATAAATACTTTCTACCCTGGCATGATCCGCGTCTGTGCTCCTCTCTCCGCATTCTGAATCTGTCTTGATCGCCCTAGCCTCGCCAAGTCTCACCAATTCTGGCTTACATAACCCGGCTTACCCCATACGGTTCCACATAAAATGGCTCAATCCGCTACGTCACTAGACGCGCTAATCGCTCCAACCTCGAGAGCACAACAGACCACTCTAAACATCGTATCACATCTCTCCTCAGTATTTTTACCCGACATTTCAGACATGGTCGCCATTCCTCTTCATCATGGCGCTCACTGCGATACCCTCGCGCGTCTCACCGATGAGATTCTCGTGTCGATACTCGAAATACTCCCCAAGCATGACCTCTGCAGCGTGTCGCGGCTGAACAAGCGCTATCATGCCCTTGCGGATGCTGTGCTGTATAATACGGTTCAGTGGCTTAAACCGGAACTCCATCTCATCTTTAGTCAATCGCTTAATCGACGGCCAAGGCGCGGATCTGCTATTGAGGGGGTTAAGCTGGCTTACCCGGCTTCAGAGTTAACACGTCTCATCTCCGACACGCTAGAGCCAACCAATTCCGTGTCGCATACAATTTCAACAATGTCGAATCTCAAAACTCTCGATATCGCTGTACCGGTTGGCCTTCTTCACAGTATAGGAAATCTTTTCAACGGACCCTTCGATCTCGCTTGTCTGCAATCCTGTACCCTGTTCTACCAGGATGAGGCCGATCAGTACTGGGATCTCCAAGAGAACATCCACATCTTTACACACCCAACCCTCGAAACACTGGTCATCAAGCGAGCAAAACTAGACGACAGAGGCTTCGAGCTAATCGAGCGTCCGCACAACACAGCGCTCAGCAAACTCCACCTGATAGAATGCGACATCAACGACGACGCGCTCTCAGACGTACTCATGTTCCCCGAAGCCCTCAAAGAATTCGTCCTCACCCAAAGAGAAGAGCCCGAGCCCGAGCTGGAAGAAAGCTCAGCCAGCATCCGCGACTACATCCTCTCCCTAAAAGAACAATGCCACTCGTTAGAAACCATCACCATCGACTTCCCCATGCTCGCCAGCGCACGCCCCCTCGCCCTGCGCGAGTTCACCGCGCTAAAAACACTCCGCCTAAACTGGGACTACCAGCTTTTTGGAAAGACTACAAAGAAGCCACGGCTGCACTCTGTTGGACTACCGCCTGAACTAGAAACATTAGAGTTTTTTAATCCGTTGGGTACGGATGAAGAAGTTACGGATCTGTTTGTTAGTGCTATTGAGAATATGCATTTTAGTTGTAGGAAATTGAAGGAGTTGATTGTTTTGGTTGATGAGGATCCGGTTCCGAAGGAGATTGTGGACGCGGTTAAGAAACAGGAGCAGTTGTTTTTGAATGTCATTGGAGGGGATTTAGACGATGAAGAAGAATAGAAGACTGGTGTTGGATAGAATGATGGAGTTGGATAAATATTACGAAGCATAGAATAAATACACAGCGACTGTCTTTTGCATTGAGCGATGAAGCCATGCCGTGGGGACGGGTGATAGATTCCCTTGCCTGCGGCTGGTCATAATTGCCCACTGAAGTACGGATGCACTAAACTTACCTAAGTCTCATCAATGTTTAGGATAAAGATCCTAAACTTAGATTGCTAGTCAGAGTCCCTACTGTGGCACAGATGATAACGCAAGTCCTATTCTCTCTCTCTTACCACCAATACAATAACTCGCTGCTTCAACGTAGTACCTCTTTTTCTTGGCATGCGACGTAGCATACATCTGCCTTTGTTCTATTCTCCAATCAGCAAACTGCCGAGAGGCGGAGCTTTCCATGTCGTTGCGCTTTGACTGTATATATGCTGAGTGGCGTCATCGTCTCATGGATCTTCCCGTGCACTAACAATAGCCTCTCAATACTTAACAGTCGAACCGGCCAGCTTTAATCGATCATTCCGGGGTCTCCAATTAGTTCATCACATATCTTACAGTAAACTAACTACCAACATGGGCAGTCTTGACAACACCCTTCCTGCATTCCCAGATGATGTGCCTACAGTGCCAATCGCCCGAATCTCATACTCCAAGCTCAAATGCTCTGATGAGAATGAGATGAACAAAGTTCTCAAGGCTTCTCAATCAGATGGGTTCTTTTATCTTGACCTCACTGATGACCCCGCGGGACAATCTCTTCTGAACGACACTGGAGATGTCCTCGCCATCTCAAAACGCGCGCTCAATATCCCTCTGGACCAAAGGATGGAGTGTCTCGCTGAGCGAGGCAAACAAATGTTCGGCTACAAACCCGCCGGGGCAGTTAAGCAGACTGATAAAGATGCACGACCTGATACAACAGAGTTCTTTAACGTGAGCAAAGATCACTTATTGGGGAACTCTGTGTCACGAAACTATCCTGCCGAGATCACCAACCAGTGGGCGGACTTGGGAAAGTTTGCCGAGAATTGTCACTCTCTGGGTCTTATGATCCTTCGCATCTTGGCGGTACAACTCGACCTACCGGCCGATGAGTTTGCCAAGAGAAATAACATCTCTTCAATTTCTGGGGATCATATCAGAATGACCAAGATGCCAGGTTGCGACTCAGCAGATGGTAGAAGAATTGGTCTTGCATCCCACACGGATTTTGGCAGCATCACCGTACTGTTCAATTGGGTCGGAGGTCTACAGATCCAATCACACAATCCCGCCAAGCAAGGAGAATGGGCATTTGTCAAACCATTACCCGGACACGCTATCATCAACCTCGGCGATGCGATGGTCAAGTTCAGCAATGGACGCCTCAAGTCAGGAAAGCATCGCGTGGTGCCGTTACCTGGGCCGTCGGGACAACTAGATCGGTACAGTTTGGTGTATTTTGTCAGGCCAGCTGATGATGTGTTGATGGAGCCCGTGGAGAAATACAAGGGTGAACCTGTCGTTACTGTTGGCGGGAAAGTTGGTGAAGAAAAGGTGTATACGGCTGGGGAATGGCTGACACATAGATTGAAACAAATGTCAAAGTAGAAGCAGCTCAGTCTCAAATGTTTATTCTCTCATTGGTCTCAGTATAAATACTCAACGGCAGCCATCTTCCTTACTGCTGAGGCAGATTTTCCGATGTCCAGAGTTCCTCGGCGAAAATCCCGACACCTTGACTGCATCACAGTGTGCTGGACATCGACTACATTGCTCTTCGATCAGGCGAGCCACAAGATGAGCCGTATGATGCGTGACATCAGGGGTTCCACCACCGTACGGACCGACCCTCAAATTGCACGACATATAGGTATATACACGTCTCGTGTTTCCGATATAAGTCTTTGCCTGGGACATAAGTTCGAGAAGACGATAACAGCTCGATCTGTAGGCGAGGTGATCCGCGCTGCACTTGATGCCGTATGTCACGCGCTTTTCCATTTCTGAGACTGTTTCAGCCTTGGCATTTGATATGAGGTTCAGAATGTCGGTGCGCGTATCGGCATTACTTGTGTTGGCGTAAATGGCTAAAGCTTCCGAGTATTGTTCAGGATAGTAGGTTCTATATCCGATGGCATCGTTCTCGATTGCTTGAAAGATAGTCTGGTTCACCTCAGAGAACGTGCCATTCTGGACAGCGCCGGTAACGTGGTGTCGTGCCCAGATGGCATCGCCAAATCTTTTCTCCCGGATAGCAGTGACATACTCAGTGGCCCACGGTTCATTGACTGTCAAGCCGCGCAATCGATTGACAACTTCATCGATGGTCAAATCAAGGAATAGCTGTTCAAGTAGTTGTGTTTCATCTGTACTTGCAGCTACCTTTGCGGAGCCTGTGAAGATGAACAAAGTTGAGAACAAGAAGATGGAAGTGATGATCATGCTGGATGTCGGAGTCTGTGAATCTAAGTCTTGAAGTTGTTTCCCTGGGAACTCTGATTATTGACAGGAGCCAGCCATTCGGATTTTATAGAAAACGTCAAATCTGATTCCAGTACTACTTTCCTTACTTCCTTCAGGTATTTCAGCTGGTGGTAAGTTTCTCTCCCGACTTTGCCGTGTTATGCATGTTGGTTGTGTCGGTTCTATATGTACTAGCCCGACACAGTGATCCCCGAGCGCTATTTAACTACCCTTACTCTCCGGTGGAGGTCAAAACATCCCCCATTGACGAGGATTGGATACTCTACAATGCGTTTGGGCCCCGCTATGCATCGACCAACACTCAGCCCAGGCATGTCGAGGCCACCTGCCTAGCCTGAATACGAGGCGGCCAGTATACATAGGTAAGTCATGCTGCTGCTGTTTATCGTATCTTCTTACCATATAATTCTGGGACTCAGGGTCACTCAGCACTTGAGTATATAATGATGCCGATAGCGACTTATGAAGCTCGCGCTCTTTCTAGAAATAGAGCTGAAGATGTTTGGCCTGGTGGGAGAGTGGGACATAATAAATAAAGTGATACGATAAAAAGTTAGGATTAAAGTTCTTGAAGTGTCAGGGTATCTACAGCCGAGGGTTCGGAGCAAGCCGTCTTAGCCGATCACAACATGCAAACCCACAGATAACGCATCGTGAAGATATGACTCAGATACAGGCAAATAACCAGCAGCACTCTCCCCCAAGCGAGCAAGTAAATGAGATTTTAGCCGTCCTCAGGGATATGCTTCCCGGTAAGGTCTTCGGTGTCGACCCGCAAGATAATCTCAATTATCTCGGGATGGCCGTCGGAGCTGCTGTTGTTAGCCCTGTAAAAGGCGACGGCCTCATCGTAGAATTCGGATGAGTATTTCTTGTAGCCCATCGCATCTTCAGTGATCCTCTCAATGATGGTCTTCCCTCTGCATAACCCATTAACTGTCTGTCCGAGCATTTGGTACCGCGCCCAGATTGCGTCGCCGAATCTGGACTCGCGAATGGCATTCACGTAGTCACTCGCCCAGGGCTCGAAGACTGGACCTCCCTCCCTAGGATGAAGGACATCGCTTATTGGGATGTCAAGGAATAGCTGCTCTAGCAGCTCTGTGTCTTGTGGATTTGTGTCCATCTACAATCTTAGTATTGTTTCATCTCATGAATGCAAAATGGGACTGACTGGGAACTGGAACAATTACCTTTCTTAAGTGCTCAATTATTATATTATGCCAGGCGAAGCCAATCGTCTTTTTTCACGATGAATGCAAAAAACCCAGACACATTGCAAACAGCGTTAATAAATGCACGTACTAGAGTGGGGTTCAATTATCCATGTATATGCAATAAAGCAGATTTGATTTTTATCACCTTCACGGGCCAGGATAGGCTTAATATCCTGACCACAGAAATCTTTGCATTGGCGCAAAGCAACATCTGATGAACTTGGATCCTTTCGTACTAGGCGATGAGCTATCCCAATTCAACCAGGACGGCATAACCCTTATTCAATATCCGGTCGTTCTTGTAGGCGCACCTTATTAAGCACAGGATAGCTAGTCACCATCCCCTCGCCGTAGTGATAACGACAGCTCATATGACGACAAGTCTCAGGGACACCATGGTGGCCAGAATACTCGTAAGAGGCTGTATCCATGGCGTGAAACCAATCATGGGGTAGGCCTCCCCCGTTTGCCTCTGGCATGTTGAAGCATATCCTTCTGAGATAGGTCATAACGATGCAACCCTTTTCCTTCTCACAATGACCGCAAGCCATCTTTAAGGTGCGGAATGGGCTGCAGGCGTGCGGGCGACCGGGGTCTTGGGATGCCCAGCCGCCGCGAAGTTTGATCAGGTCTGGCGAGATAGACTCTGATCCATCGATTTCGGTGATAGAATCCCATTCTGCCAAAGAGTTGACTCCTCGTTGCGGTACCATATGTCGACCTCCCTGTAGTCGGATGTTCTGAATGGCCTCCCTAAGTTTTGTCTTATACAAATAGCCACTCGGATGAAAGACGGATGGGTCACCGCCAGAATGTCCTCTCCAGAAGATAAGAATCACAGTCATCCCACTTGGAAGCTTCGTGGCAAACGCCTGCGGACCTTTGCCTTCGCTACAAGGTTCAGAGTGATCCTCATGGTCGCAGCTCCCCACCAATATCCGCCCTTCGCCATCCTGCCCCTCGTCGATGCGGCTCTTTATATCGTCCCAGGTCAGTGTTTTATGAGCACAAAGTCTTATATGGCCTTGTCTCCCAATGCAGACACTCTTGGGCTTGACGCGCTGCCATTTGGCAAAACACGCGTTAGGATGGTCAACGCCACAGGGGTCGCACTTTGACCATGACGACCGCGAGTAGAGGTAGAGCGCTTGAAACTTGCAGATAACCGATAATTTCCTGAGCCTCTGGCAGCTTTCGCAAGCGTAATCCTTTCGCATAAGCTTCCCAACTCCAGCCTTCAATTCCGGGAATCGCGCGTTGTACTCGAAGCAATGGCGGACCTGCCACGGATCTCTTTCAGGACTCGACAAATCTTGAAAGCCACTAGAACACCACTTGCAGCAATAATGGGTGGAGAAATAGTGGTCTTGGAACTCGGCGCCTTCTGTCAGGCGTCGGAACTGCCGAGAAACCTGCCGCAAGGCAAAGAAAGCAACGCCGCCTTCGCTATCCCCCTTCGAGAGCCAGGAAATGATCATCGACAATATTTCATCGGGGAGTCTCTGCAGTCCAGAAGCATCAGACAAGCTGTGAGGAAGCTGGTCGTTGATAAGCTGTGCCTGATGAGGGAGCCCGTTTCCGAGTGTTGAAGAAGGGGGTCTCTTCCAGAGGCTTAGTTCGATTACAGATTCCTTGTTGTTTGTTTCGGCGTCCGCCCTTCTCATCGATTCTTTATACTCTAGTCAACATTAATCAGTAATTCGAACTCTCTCGTGAGCATATCCTCGCACCTGTTTCATTTTCGGGTATGTTTCTCCGCCTGGTGATTCGGCGAATCTCGCCTACGACTATAGTCAGTTATAACATTGCTATACAGGACCTGCTTTCATACTCATCAGCTTTCTATATAAATCTGTTATGATACATGCCACGAAAAATACCACCAAAATTGGCAAGCAAAGCAATTCTACCGAGGCCTCGGCAATATCCATGGTATAGATAAATAGGAAAGCGAGGTATCTGCAAGAGGAAAAAAGAGTGAGGCGGCGCAGGGCAACGGGAGGTTTAAATATTTTCATTTCAGTGTGACAAGCCCGTTTACTTACACGATAGAGATTAAGTTAATCATGTCCTCGAAGTATATTTCTTGTAGTTGCCCCAAGGTTAGGTTTAGAGAACTCAAAAGACACACAGAGCGAGGCGAGGCGCAGGATATAACCATTGCCTACTAGGTCTACGAACTTTAACATAAAACTCTGTAAAAACTTACTGTACGCAGTACGTCAGCTATGTAAAGAACAACCCGAAACCCGCTTCTCAGTTCAATATACAATTGTGTTTAATCGCAGATACAGAGAAAGCATACTGTACATACGTCTTGCCGCCATCGCGAGTATGTGTTGGATGAAGGAAAGAATAATTATTAGTCAGCGGGTTTAGCTCAGTTGGGAGAGCGTCAGACTGAAGTTAAACTTCAATCTATTGATATCTGAAGGTCGTGTGTTCGATCCACACAAACCGCAATAGGTTTTTGCCGCAACCTTCAACTCTGTCTATACGCAGTGAATGAACTTTATATTTTTGCCTTCGCATGCATATATACTCCCTCTTTATGCTGCAATTTAGCACATGAGCGATATCGTTAAGATGACTTGGCCATCCCACAATCAGAAGGGGTTCCATTGGTCTGTTGTACCTAGAACCTGCAGCAAACTATCAATCGCCTTTGCCATTCTTGGTCTGTCAGCCCACTTGATACAGCGCGCTATCGATTGACTTGCTCGCGTGGAGCAAAAAAACTTCCCACAGTGAATCGAGGTGCCAGAAATGCGGGTCCAGGAGTCCACTAAATTTACGCCGAATGCGCCTGAAGGTTTTTGTCACTAAGCATTGTATTTCGTTGTCTCCATGCAAGGCCCACAGTCGAGTAAAATGTGGCTTGCTGAAGTCTATCAAACAGTGGGAGCAAGCGACACGAGGCCTAAAAGCGCGAGAGTTTATCATCGCATTCCATCCGATATTGATCTAACTTCCAGGTCTTCTGGACTTGAACTTCTACCTGCCTGCGAAAGACAATGACTTCCAACTTTGACAAACTGCCTAGAGAGGCTCTCGCCTCCATTTCGAGCGTGAGCGCACGGGTCAGAGACGCTATCTCCGCATCTCTCCCCATCGGGCCAGAACAGTACCTGACCATCACCGCCCCTGGAACTGTAATTGATCTGGCCAACTCGGACCGCGACGACTCATTTGTATATGATGAATCCAAACATAATTTCCCTCCAGCAAATGTCAGACAGGCTGAGGCCAGCTTAGTTGACCGAATGATGCCGATAGCCAAATGCGCAGTATGCAGAGCATCGTCTCGCCCAAACCTGAGCACTAACACATCACAGATCGGCAACGAGAGAAAGAGTGTCGCACACAATTATGCTCGCGCCATCGACAGTTTAATTCCCGCAAGCCCGGTATTCACACCCTCCCAGGCATCCCCAGCCACGGAAAGATGGACTACGCAAAGTCAATGGAGCTTCTCAACAAGAAAGTACCTGGAACCTCAAAGACCATGATTGACGTTTATCGCGACAAGGAGATGAAGTGGGTTGAACGGCAGCAGGCTTGGGAAGAGGCAAAGATCAATGCTGCTCGTAATGCAGAAAATGCCTTTGAAGAGGGGACCAAGGACTACGTCGAAAAGCGAGAGAAATATTTTGATAAATGGATGAAAAGTGAAGCAAAGTCCTACAAGAATGCTATTCAAGCTGCATGGATGGATTGGGTTATCAATGGGAAGAAAAATGAGGTTGATATGATCTTTGGCGTGGTCCAGGTGGATTCTATGGCGCGCATCGAAAACAGCAAGGAAGCGATGAGGAACTCTGCGATAGACGATCCAAGTGGCGATGGAGAGGTATACGGGGTTAGTCTCACGCCCAAGACCTGGGCTACGGCCTGTAAAGTTAGGGCCGAGGAGTGGCGTGGCAATGATTTGAGGCAGCTGAAAGGCAGTGACGAAATTGCATGGAGTAAAGTCACGCTGTCCTATTCTACATCAGATTTACAGACTCAGGGAAGTGGACCCGCCAGCTACGGCCTCTGGACCTTGGGTGACGACGGCTTGCCTGAGGAACTGCGCCAAGAGATGGCATCCTGCGATGTCGGCATTTCATTTTCTGCCCTCGTTGTCAACATCAGCCGCCCATGGCTGCACAGCGACCTCTTCAGCGACACTGATCTCGATGCTCAAAGGGGTGTCAAAGTCAGCCCTGGCCCAAGTCGCATTCATGAGATGCTCGAGGCGCAGGAAGAGGAGAGGAGCAATGACTGGGCCTTTCCTGCTTACCCAACCTCATTTGTCATTGCTGCTGATACAACGATTGAATTCAAGGGACGAGTGAAGGCTATAGAAGAATTTTGGAAAGCTGGCAGTGAGGTGGTTGGATATGGGCCGTGGTCAGTGTCAAGCAGTGCTGCGGACCGGCAGACCAGAGTTGAATCAACTTCAACGGGTTGTAAGATCAGTTTTGGGGCACCGCAGATTATTGGCTGGGTTAGCCAAGCTGTGCCATCTCTGCCGCGATCATAATATTTACTTCATTAGCCATGCACGAGAGTTTGCTTAATAGGATACCTCTTTTTTTTTTTTGCGCCTCATTGTCAGTCTTGAGCGGCTCTTTCTGTGCAACCACTTTCTCAAGTTCTTGCAGCGTCTCCTTCATTGCTCCGCTTTTCTGTTGATTTGTTTGTTACACAAGGCAGGAAGGAGCCTACAACCTGGACCTTGCAGCCTTCACCTTCGCTTTCTGATGTCCATCTTCATCAATACATTTCAATCCGATTTCTTTTCTGAAAAGATGAAGAGAATCACGAGAGCTGCTCGAGCTGCCGAGATGAACTCCCAGTCGACAGAAGATCAGGGAACTAGTCGTCCGCGACGACAGCTCATCACTTCCATCGTTCAGTCTCCAGTTGCACCCGCTCTGCAAACACCTCTTCAGCATGTACCCGCCCGACGATCCGCACCCTCCACACCCGATATCGTGAGTCACCCATGGCTAGCATGACCCCATGTCTTTGAGAAGCTAATAAGTAGCAGAAGATTCGGTTCTTGACTTTTTACCTCCAGGAATGCACCACAGAAGAACACATCGTTGAAAAGTTCACCCGCGGACTCCAGATCGTATCAAATTGCGCGGCGGATATCCCATCTATTCTCTCCGACATCATCAGCCACTGCCAGGACCGCGTAGTGCTTCACCAACAAGCTACCAGGGAATTAGGAAGGTTCCACATCGGCTGCTGGGACGGCTACTTCAGAATGGTTGCTGCCGACACTGATTGGTTGACCAACAACTGGGGTGGTTCGAACTGGCTTCCGCCTGATATTCGGGCTGGGCTTGAGAGGTCGTTTGGTACTCCAGTGCCCTCGTCTTATGTGAGAGCCTTGGTTGCAATTACACAGGCTGCACAGGCCTATGAAATCGACCTCGACTCTCTTTGGGCTGAAGACGGCGCTCTGAGAACGGCAGTGGGCGATGGTGGGGAAATTTGTCTCTCCCCAGCACTGGAGCAGGAGATCATCGGCCAGATCAATCATGAGGGAGCGCTTACAGCCCCAGAGGCTTCTGCTCAAGGACGACAAAGCTCGACTGCTGTTCATCTCGAGGGTGGAAGCGAAAGGTCTAATGGCATCAAAGTCGAGACGAGCGAGCAAAGCGAACCTGCATCAATCCAGACAGTTCCTAGCCATGAAACTCCTACTGGAAACGGCAACGATGATCCTCCAACTGCTGTGGAAGTGCCTACCGCTCACGAACATGTAGCACAGACGCAGGCCCAGCCCACGAATGATGGAACGCAATCCGCTCCACCAGTGACCAGAAAGCGGACTTTCGATCAGATGAATAGCACAGAAGACTCAATGTATGACAAGTACAAGACACTTACGACGAGCATCACGCTGGAAAGGTTTGCTCAGCTTCGAGCAGAAGCAATCGAGAAACTGGAACGAGCGGAGTCCGAAAAGGCAGCCACCGACCGCATACTGGTAACAATGAGAGCCAAAGAAGACCAACTCCAGCAAATCCGCGACCACAGCAAGAGGATGATCGACACCACGAGCAATGGACTAAGAGAACAGGCCAATCACGATGTCCTGGCCGGAACGCTGGCGAACATGGGAGAAGTGTACTTCAAGGGCATGAACAGATTACTTGATTGTGTTCTTCAGGCGTCCTCTGCCTCTATTTTCGGATTCACGGTCGAAGATGTGCAAGCACGACAGACCGCAGCGATTGACAAGGTCGACAAAGGGAAGAAACACATCCGGGCGCTGGATCACATTGAAAAGGCACGAGCGGTACACGAGAACTACATTGAGATGGAGGGATTTCGCGAGAGTTTGCGTGCTGTTTGGGCCAAGACAGGTGAGCGCGTGGAGGATTTGGAGAAGGCGTGCGTTGCTGCGTTTAGTCATGCGGAGGAAGAAGACTAGGGTTCTATTCTCGCATCTCAGAACGATTAATGAGAGATCATATTCAACCGGTTCGGAGGGCTGAGCAAGGATGTTGGGAGATTTTTCTGTTTCTGAGAAGACTGTTCTTATGTTCATGTTTGTGAGATAGCTTCAGAGACTTGATGCTGGTGGATCGTGTCGAGACTTGGCGCCGGGGAATGAGTCACCCCGCATTCCCACAATGGTGCAGCGATCTTCAATTGTGCTTCTATCGCTATGAAATAAATGTTCTGTTCTTTCATCCAACTCTCGGTATCTGCAAACCAATAAAATGTCATCCGCATCAAGACCTTCAACACCACCGCATCATCCAAACTTTGGTGTGCGCATGTCCCGCGAGGACATCGGCCGTTTAGTGCGCCATATACTCCCCGACACTACCGACGTAGAAGTTGAGGCTCTTCCATCTCTGAAGTCCTTCAACAACCGAATCTATTATCTCAAATGTCACAAAGGATCCCAAACTGTTGACGATGCAGTCCATGTCGATGAGCTTGTTCTCAAGATCAATGGTCGAGGTTTTGGGTCGGAGAAGATTGAGAGTGAAGTTTCTTGTCTCCTCATGTTGGAGCACTTTTGCCCCGAGATTCCAGCGCCTCGTGTGGTAGCTTGGTCTCAAGATGGATTGACTATCGACACCAAGGACTCGCATAGCGGTAGTCTGAAGCTCAACGGTGCAGATGAGAGTCTGAACGGCTGGATATTGATGACAAGAGTACTGGGAAAACCCATTGACTTATCTACGCTCGGCAATGACGACAAGCTTCACCTGGCGACACAATTGGCAGATTATGTCAACAATTGGCGGCGAAATCTCCCTCCTCAGACCTTTGCTGGGAATATTTCCTTTCATCAGATGGGTTGCCAGCCAGACATCAAAATCCCAAGCTCGGATAGTGCCAGGGAAATGCAGTTTCTTGTCAGAGGCATGCTTGGAGAAGAGCTCCATTGTCAAGATGGCATCGCCTCCCTCGCCGAGTATTATAAACTCAGAATTCACAACAAGATGAAGACTTTGGAAACGAACGAGACCTTTGCGCCCAACAGAGTCCTCATGCAGTCTCTGGAGACATTCATACAGCAAGGCCTCCCTGCCCTCAGGGCGTTGAACACCAAAGGCGACTCTTTTGTATTCACCCACTACGACCTATCCCCACGAAACATTCTCATATCTGGCCAGCCTCCCCAGATCACCGGCATCGTGGACTTTGAGTTCTCTGGCTTCTTTCCACCGCTCGATGAGTTCCTGAATGACTGCATCGCCAACGATGGCGACTGGACCAAAGATATGTACGAGGTGTATTTGAAGCGACTGGAGAGTAATGGTATACCAACACCCTTGGAAGGAATCGAAAAGGATCATTGGGAACAGATGGCGTTGTTGGAAGAATTGGTTGAGAAGATTGCTCCTTGGTGGTTGCCTGGTAAGTTTCAAGGTGAACAGCTGGAGCAAGAGTTGAACAAGGTCAAGGCACGAGTTGGGGAGATAGTAGATAGATTGAGAAAGTGAGAATAGCCAAGAGCGGGAAGTTCTATCGGCAAATGTTTTCACCAAAAATAAGACTCTCAAAAGCCAGGCCCCATCATGTCAATCTCGCGAAGGAAACCTACATGTTTTGATCAACAGAAATTATAGTGAATTTCCTACATCTACCGAATCCTGGCTATGATGCTTCTAACCTACATATTCTCAATTCGCAATCACAAACATTTAAACTCCGCATAACTTCAACTCCTCAATATCTTATCGTAAGGTTCACCAGAGACCTTTCTCTCTAGTTCTATCTTCACCAGGTATCCGCCTCGCTCATTTCGAATATGCCATCAATCCGCACACCACCATGAAGAGCTCAGTCCCCATGCTCGACACGCTTGTGGCCTCTTTTATCTGACTCTGCTGGGGTATGGAGATAGCGTGCTCGTTAATCTAGCCGCCTGGAAACCCGACTGTGTTGGGTCGGCAAACAGAGCTCTTATCTTTAAAGAGTCGTCAGGTAGGTGAGGGAGGTCAAGACATCTACTCTAAGTGATGAGAAGATTTAGGCAAATTTAGGTAAATTTGGGACAGCTTAGGTAACTTTAGGATAACTTAGGTATATTTAGGGTGTTCTTTCTTACGAGTCTTATCATCGCCAGTATCTTTTTCAGCCATCGCGCATACGTCATCAATCCACGTGCCCTCGATTTACAGAGGGCCCATACTAGAGTAAGATTTTTGGATAGAGAAATGCACTGCCAGGCGAACGCAAGGTGTGGAAAATATGCTCCACTTTTGCAGTACAATATCAATTCACAACAACAAAATTTTAACTCCACACAACTTCTACTCTGCAAACTTCAACTTCTCAACATCTTGCAGTTTTCAAGTTTCACTTCTCAAACAACTCAAGAGCCCTTGCGTCTTATTCGCCAGAGATCTTTCTTATTAATCCCTTCACTAGGTATCCGTCTCATTCATTTCGCGATCCGTACGCCACTATGAAGAGCGCATTCCTTATGCTCGCTGCCCTTGTGGCCTCTCTTGTCTGCCTCTTTTGAGCGATAGCACTGGATACAACCTCTTCTCCTCCAATCCACCGCCCGGGAACTCCGAGTTCGCGGTCGCGAACAGCTACATCTCTCGCGTCATGTTTGCTCCTTTGGAAGAGCTGCCCATGACCTACGGTAGCATGACGTCTCCTCAGGATTCCGCGACAACCAGCACCCACCAAGATCTCTGTTCCACGGACGACGGCAAACTCCAACCCGAACCAAGCAGCGCCAAGAAGTCCCTCGAGGACCAAGTTGATGATCTGCTTGCGATTTTGCGAGATATCCGGTCGTTTGTCATGCCTGCTTTCCCCGGCGCTGGGCGAATCGTCATCGTTATCTCTATCTTTTCTCTCTTGCAGGAACGGATCGCCGCTGCCTGTGTTGTTGCAGAAGGCCGCCTAGATCCACCACCGAGTCGATGTATGAAGCCCAAACCCGCTTTTTCTAGAAGAAATACGGATATCGACCTACCACACCCCACGACCTCGCTCTGCAAAATGGATTGGTTCCGCGATGCGTATCATGAGGACCCTTTTTTGACGTGGTCTGCTACACCCCCGCATTCTTGTATCAGCATGTCATGTGCTGGCTCGGGCAGGCCCTCTTGACTACCTATCGCTATGGATCCGTGGGCGGCTTTCAAAGACTTCTGGGTCGGAATTCCCAAGCTACTCGTGACGCTATTCGTGACAATACCCTGGTTCATCATTCGACGACTCCCTCGGTTCGCCGTGTGCTTCGTGTGCTTTATCATCAAGGCTATACCCTCAGTCGGCGCGCACTTGATCGGACTTGTTGCGTGTTTCCTCTCACCATTTCCGCACCGGAAACGAGATTTTGCAGCAGAACGTGCGAGGCGTGCAGTGGGACCAGTCAGCTGTGGTATTCATCAACTCAAAACAACACTCTATTCAGGAAAGTCTTAGGTGAATTTAGGTGAATTTTGGGCAGTTTAGGATAATTTAGTATAAACTTAGTGTAGGATACGTGGACCTTAGACTAGGTATCCGCTTTATCCGACCTCAATTTATTGCTGTTTTGCGTTGGGAATGGCGTTCTCTGATCTTAAGGCATCTCGGCGAGACTTACACCGAGCTGATACATTGATCTTCAGAGTCATTGCGGGGTGGAGTCCTTGGGGAGTAAGCAACAAGATGATCCTCCGTGTGTGTATGCATGATTGAGGCGTGAAATAATCCTCCTATCAGACGTGAATATTCCCGAACATTGGTTTGCCACGGACTCTGATAAAGGGAGAAAGATGAGCGTTTTGCCCAGCAGGTCATTAATAAGGTCAAGTTGTGACATCGAGGATTTTAAGTCGCTGATACTTAAACATGATGCGCACTTTTTATCTCTTCTACTTACTGACTCTTTTCTCCAACGGCTTTGCGGACGCTTGTAAAAATGACGAAGACTGCAGTCTAAACGGAATTTGTTCGAGATGGAAAAAGGTCTGCTGTTGTGATCCAGGCTGGATTGGCAGCGATTGTGGTCGTCTTGATCTTGCTCCGGCGACACGATACACTGGCTACAACCATACATATGAGCCTCCAAGTCCCACAGATTTTGGTATTTGGCCTAATGCCTCCTGGGGAGGTCGAATTGTTCAAGATCGTGACAACAAGCGACTATTCCATCTTTTCACGGTGCAGTTCAGTCACGGATGCGGTCTGAAGGGTTGGCGCCCTCATTCTTACATCATCCGGGCCGAATCGCATAACGGGCCTCAAGGGCCATACAAGTATGCTCAAGATGTATCGAAGAACTTCGCGCATAATCCAGATATTGTCTGGAGCCCGGCTGATAAGAAGTACTTGTTATACAGCATTGGGGTAGAATATGATAAGAAGGTCACGAAGTGCGAAAGCATCAGCTATACGAGATGGCCCAACAATATTTCTGTTTCAGCTGCTGATGATATTCGTGGTCCATGGTCGCCATTCAAGATGGTCCTGGATAGTGACCCCCCAGCAGGTATTCACGCTACCAACCCCTCGGCTCTCCCTCTCTGGACACGCAACAACGCAACCAGCGAAATAGTGCTCGGTATCAAAGACTATTCAATCTTCACTGCCAAGGGTTGGGATGGCGACTATAAGCTCAAATATCAAGCAACATGGAACGTCACAGAGCAAGAGAACCCAGAATGGACCGAAGACCCGTTCATATGGCGCGACAAGCGGGGAAACTGGCACTCCATAAACCACTGGATGATAGACTACGTTGAGAACGATAAACAACAATGGCCCCGTGTTGGATCCCATCTCTTTTCACGGAAACTCACAGGGCCGTGGCATTTCAAGCTCCAAGAGGCTTTTAGTTCCAATGTCACTTTTACTGATGGATCGTGGCAGGTGTTCCAAAGAAGGGAGAGGCCGAAGCTGTTCTTTAGTGATGACGAAGAGATGACGCCGGTGTATTTGACTAATGGGGTACAGGAGATGAATCAGACTGGTGCGGCTTTTACGCTTGTTCAGCCGATTGGTACGAAGTGGAAGAAGTTTGAGAAGGATTTGGGTTTCTGATATCAAAAGTGGATTCATGTATACGTGGATCTGTCTGCCTCAGTCAAATTTTGCCAGCTGCTCTTTAGTTAACCTTGGCTATATGATCCTTTCACCCCGCCAAGCATCATGTCTTGTGCCGCATTAAATATTAAATGGTAATCTGTTACACTCTTCTAGTACACGTTTTGAGTACACCAGGTCAGACTGACTGCAGAGGCTTGTCAATGGTTTCCCTCCTCGGATGTTGGCGAGCTTCAGGAGCCCTTCTGCTCAAAGTTCGGAGACATTCCTTTTATCGGCCTGGCTATAGGGGTCGCTATTTACTAGTACAGCTGATGCAATGGTGGATAGCTGTTTGGACCATTGATTCTGCTCTCCAATCGCGATGTTGCGTTTCGTTGCGAAATATTCAGACCATTTCTCGTCCGAAGTCAATGATTCTAACTCAAATCCTTGTCAATCCGTGGTTGGTAAGTCTTGCTTCGCTTTCGCGAGGTCGGATGCCAAGTCCTCCATGCTCCTTGCCTTCTCAGCCTGTCGCTTTTGGTCCTCCTCCTCGCCAAGGGTTTCGTTCTGAAGAAAGGAACGCTGGAGTTCTTGGTTGGTGAGTGAAGTCGCGTGCTGATGTTCGCTCATTGAATCGAGCATTCGGCGGTAGTTCCCGATCTCGTAATCGCGATAGGCGAAAAGAGTGTCTGTTCCCTCTTTCACAATCCTCTTGGCCTCCTCACAGCACCCCGGGTCCGGCTTCAAGTTGAAGACAGCTCCCTCATTTCAGCAGATGACCTTTCTAGTCGGGTCAGTCTACTCGGAGAGCCGTTCAACACGAGTAGTGGGATGATATATGATCTTCCTTTCGCGGGGCACGTCGAGCTGAATCTTGAACTCAGGGTAATTCAACCTGGTGAAAAAGGAGATCTTATCTCGTCACTCCGCCTCTATGATTGGCACAGTTCTTGAGTGACTTCTGCCTTGATATGTTCCAGCAAGGCCTTCGGGTCATCATGTCGGCCTGAAAGACGATTGAGCCAGTGCGAATTCTCTCGCCCCCAATCTGCCTCTCGCACAACCTTCCCAGGGACTTGAAACCTTTTCTCCGGATACGGATACGGCTGGATCTCGCGCTTAGTCCCTACAACTAGCAAACCGCTTGACAGTGCCGGAGTTCGCTTCGCAACGGGAATCCCCTTTCTGTTCCGTGTTATTGTGATGGGCTCGCGGGCTGTCACTCCTCCAGAGAGGGACTGTCCATCAGGTCGGCGGCCCACGATCATTAGAATGTTGTATGCCTTCGCCAATCTCGACTGATGTACGAAGATAAGTCTTCAATTCGTGTTCACGAATGATGTCGATGGGCGTCCCCTCGGTTCGCTCCACTTGGGAATCAGGCCTTGCGCAGCCATCAGACACAACAAACAACCTGACAGCAATATGACACCAAGCTATGCTTGCTGTTCAGTGTTTGCTTCTAGCCCGAAGGATCCTACCTAAACTTCGGGTATCAGTAGTCTAAAGACCCACTAAGTCTATACTAAGTGTACCTAAGTTATCCTAAATTTACCTAAATCTTCTCATTGGGATTCCAGCAGGCTCGACTCCAGATTCCTGTTTCAGCTTATAGTGCACGCAGATCAGTCAGCCCTAAGCCCAGCTATGTTACTTTACCTTTAGTTTCGGGTTGCAAATTTCGTGTTCTTGGACGGCCCCCAATCCCCCACAGCCATCCCCAGTCTCTGAGTGGTCCAGTTCTAAATGCCGCAAACCCATGTCCCTTGCTGTTGACATCATTGGCACGATCCTGAAGCGGATCACTACTGGACTTGTGTAAGTGTGTAGCTCCCGAGTCTTATAACTCGATATATTATTTGAGGCTTTGGTCGTCCCTTCAAGTCAACCGTCTGTAGGTTGGAATGGCAGGTCTCATAGAAAGCTGTCTGTCTGGCATTATGGGAAGATATCATCGTAGTTCAATCCTTGTATTTGTTGAAAGACTTAATAGAACCATTCTATCACTCGCTACACACTCTCCAGTAGAACAGCCTATACTAAACCAATCTGCGAGGTCCTCTTGGGGTGTAGGACAATGAACCTGATTTCACCCTGGACTGATTCGATCATCGCCTCATCTCATGGCATCGCCACTTTCTAGTCCCCGCTTACTACCATCACATGCATAAGAGTCATTCCATGTCTTGCATAGCAGGATGGCAAAGGATTTTAGTCACCATGCAAAATATGCCGGAATTCCGTACTTGCACAGCCTTTCCTATTCAAGTAGTTCATAAAGTGCACTGCGCTAGTTCATCCAATAAGCTTAAACATAATGCGAGCGCCTAGAGTCCGAAAGCTTAAAAATCCTCCCAGGCTGACATATGCAATTATGCGTATCGGCAGTTGTGCAAGCGCTGTTGATCTCCTGATGGAATGAGATCACTTCCCTTTAGAGTCGAGATGGATTGTGTTGGTCTGGTCACTGATGTAATTGATGATGGCTTCAGTGGGATATTTGTGAAAATTGCTCGAGTTGGGTAAGTCCTTCGAATTAGCAGGTTTTTGGAAGGAATTGCCAAGATGTGACCCATCTTGGAGCACAATAGTAATTGCTTCAATTATAAAATGCCATCGGTTCCGCGCTGGACTCGATATCATCACCAAAGCATCTCATCACTTCAACTCACATACTTCAATTGTCATTATCAACATGCTTCCCAGCCTTCTTCTCTTTGCCCTCACTGGCTTCGCCAGCGGGTCTCCTACTGGCCTTCTTACCTCTTCCCATGATATACAGGCCAGGGAGATTCACGCTGATGAGCTTCACACTCGTGCCCTACTCAATCACCCCAAGGACCTCATCATTGACTCTGGGGATCTCAATGACTACATCAAGGAACATCCCAACTCTGATAGCGTCGTCTATCTGCAGGACAAACAGTCCTTCGTACCATTGTCAAGCGTCTCGGTAGTCGAAGACAAAGAAGCCAAGGACGACAAGTCCAAGCGTCAATATACTGGCCCTTGCTATGTCTATGACCAGTGGCAGGCCCGCGACTCCCAGTCCTACTGGGGTCCATGGGAGACAGCTTCTGGCTGTCTGTACACTGGCTTGAGTGAGGGTTCAGGTACCCGAACCATCAGCTGGTCCAAATCTGTGTCCGTTGAAGTCTCAGGTGGCTTAGATTGGAACCCTATCAAGGATGTCTTGGGTGTCTCCCTTGGCCTTGCTGTTACAAACACTTGGACCGATGGTGGTAAGATCGACTGCAACATCCCTGCTGGATCAGTTGGTCAGATCTGGGCTCAGAAGTATCTGGGAGAAGGTATGTATACGCCCTTGTCTCCTTTGAGAAACTACTAACTGAAATAGCACATATGTGGAAGAGAATGTGCCAGTCATGCGGAGCCTCTGGTCAAAAGTGTCTTGGTGACTGGGAGGAAGCTGGATTCGTCAAAGCTCCAACTGATGGGTATGTCAAACTTAGGCTCATGTGAAGCGAAGAACTAACACATTTCAGTTCTGATCCCGGCAAGAACCTGAACACAGGCTGCAGCACTGGCAACGAGAATGTCAAGTGTTAGAATGGATCTCTGGATGGCGTACCTGCTGGGAGTTTGGTCTGGAAGACGTTGGAAAGTAGAGAATGAACCAGAGCGGGTTTCAAGGTGTAGCTAGGGTCTCACTCATTAGCTGCTTTTGTTTCTTCAATCGACGGTCTTTTATTTGAGTGATTTTCCAAAGTCTCAAAAGATCTCAACCTGACTTGCTCTTGTTGTTATTGTTGTTGGAGCTACCCAAAACTTGACTTCATGAAGAGGTCTAGACCAGAATGGTTTAGCTGCTGTTTGGCCAGAAACAATGCGAATATTCTCAAGACAGCCGGATCGCGACTCAGCTGATTGTGTCTCCTTGTACTCAGAGATCACCCCACCATCTATGTCTTGTCTTCTCCATCTCCAGCTCCACGGGATATGGATCCAAGAACTTGGTAAGCGACTCTTGCCAGCCCTGCCGAATAAGATTTCCCAACCATGCAGATGTATACTCCCAATAGTACGGATTCCAAATAGCAAATTCCCAGTCGATGATACCAACGACTTGATCGCCCCGTACTAAGATGTTGAAGGGGTTCAGGTCTCCATGAGTAAATACTGGCGGTGGCCACGAGCCGTCTTGTTTGGTGATTATCTCTTTGATGTCTTTCCAATTCTGATCATCAGCACGATCTGGGTGGTCCTCAGGCTGGAGGTCCTCGCGCAGCCATCGATGAAAATCTTGAACGGTCTTGAATGGGCCAAATCTTGGTCTTGACCGTGGTATTTGAGAGTCGCGTAATGAGCCGCCTATATAGCTCTCAATTCCTGTATTGGGAGGTGGAGTAAGAGACCGTAGTTCTTGAAACATGCGCCGTAGCTGAGTAAAGATGTTTGATCGATCAGTATCTGATAAGTCTCTCCAGGTATCCGCGATGCTTTTTCCCTGAATGCGCTGCATAACTATATGTGCTCTGTTCTTGTGCACGAATGAGCAGTGAATAGTCGGCACAGGAATAGAAGTATTGGCTGCAACGAATTGCATAGTAGCTGCTTCAGTGAGGTGGATAAATGGCCCCTTCTTGACGATGAGAGATTTTGAAATGGGGATGCAAGGCCCATTATGTTTGTAGAAGCGGGCGGACGTTTTAAGTGCGATGAGTGTCATGAAGCGACGAGGGAATGTATTATTTATGGCCAAAGAGGATGTTCCTTCATGCTGAGTAGCCGTTTGGTCGGGCGGAGGGACGTAACCTGTTGTTGACATGATGGAGACGAGTGGAGCGGAATTGCGAGCATTGGTCGTTGAGCTCACAAAGTCTTGGTGATTGACTGACTTCCAAGACCTGGAGTGATTAATGGAGTGCGTAACAAGATGTACATTATCGGACTTAAGAATCGAGGTGGAGATGAAGATGGGTTAACCGATTGGCGAATGGTCTGTTGACAGGAATGAGATCACGGCACGCCTGCTGACTAAGACAAATGCCCTGCAAAATCTACGCGTCTTCCGCGTCGCGACAAATCCGATGCGCAAAGCTTGATAACTACAGCAGTGAATGATTTGAACCCTTGACCTAAATTAGTCTAAATAGCCACTAAAGAACACTAAACTAGCCTAAGTTTCAGCCTAAGACTCTTCATTGTTTTGGATAAAGATCCTGAGCTGGAACACGGTCGCGGGGGAAGATAAGATAATGTGCAGTATCAATGTCATTGCGCTAAATTGCTATGAAATACAAATAGTGACTCATTTCAGCCTCTTCAGGCTCTTTTTCTAACTAAAACAACTCTTTCAACATTTTACTCCTCCTGGACCTTCTCTGTTGATCCATGTGCAGGGAACTGATCAACCTTGGTGCTAGCAAACTTGCGCGCAGGAACATTATGCTCGAAGAGAAGATCGAGTTCACCATATGTTCGACCCTTGGGCTCGGGAAGGCGGAAGAAGGCCCAGATGAAGATCAACAGACACCATCCAGCCCAGAAGAGACCAGTCTTGGCGCCCCAGTTCCACGAGTTACGACCGAGCATGCGGGGCATAAGGGTGTTGGTGACGAGACCGGCGATGTTGCTGAAGTTACGGGCCAACACGATGGTCTTGGCCTTGAGACGGGTGGAGGAGATCTCGGCGACGATGGTATAAGCGATGGGACCGATGGTCATGTCGTAGACAAAGGTGTACACGACGAGCAAGCTACCGATGGCCCAGCCGGTTTGCTCGGTCTTCTTGGCGAAGCCAAGGGCTCCGACGGCGATGAGGATGAAGAAGAGAGAGGCCATACCGCAGATGTAGATATGGCGACGGCCGAAGCGGGCCATAAGGAACCAGGATAGAACGACGCCAACAGCACCGACACAGTATTGAATGACATTGAAGTCAAGAGCTCGCTCAGAGGAAAGACCAGCTTCGAGGTAGAACTGAACAGCGTAACCCATGAGAGAGCTACCGCAGAGAGCCTGGGCAGTGTAGCTGATAGAAGCGACTTCCGTTCGTCGAAGATCGCTGCGCATGAAGCAATGCCAGTAGTTGGTTCCAGCAGAGTTCTCAATCTCCATCTTGTTAGTAGCCTTGAGGAGCTCAACCTGAGCATCAGCATCAAAAGGAATGTCGCACTGGGTGGTGAGCGAGAGGATAGATCGCTTAGCATCCTCATATCGCTCCTTGCGCACAAGCCACCAAGGAGACTCGGGAGCAAAGAGGGTACCGAGCATGATGAACGGAGGCCAAGCCCACTGAAGAGCAAAAGGGATTCTGTAAGACCAATCGCCACCCATGGTGCTGAAGCCTCGAAGAACACCTGCACCGATGAGCTGACCGATGACCCAGCAAAGGTTGACGTAGGCAGTGAGATACGGTCGCAGCACAACAGGCGCAACATCAGAAGCGTATGCGAGAGTGAGAGTCTGGAAGATACCCCAGGGCAGACCGAGGAGGATGTTTCCGGCCAAGAGAACCTGAAGGTTCGGTGCAAAGAAGGGGAAGAAGATGAGTCCAATCATGAGAACCTGACTCGCCAACATGGTCTTCTTGTAACCGAAAGCATCAGAGACCCAACCGTTGATGTAAAGACCGATGATCTGACCGCACATGCCACCAACTTGGATATAAGTCTGCCAATCGGCCGAGACAATAGGGTTTCCGTTCGAGTCGACTTCGTTGCCGAATTTCTGCTTGAATCTGGGGGGGGGG